GGGCTGCACCCCGTGTTCCAGCAGCTCAGCTGCTCTTGGCACCTGCTTCTCGAATCTCGGGCTCGGTTTTGGGCCCCTCAGCACAAGGAGGACGTGGAGGGGCTGGAGCCTGTCCAGGGAAGGGCAGTGGGGCTGGGGAAGGGGCTGGAGCACAAGTGTGAGCAGGAGCAGCTGAGGGAGCTGGGGGTTCAGCCTGGAGACAAGGAGCTGAGGGGAGACCTGCTGGCTCTGCAGCTGCCTGAGAGGAGGTTGGAGCCAGGGGCGTTGGATCAGTCTCTTCTCCCAAGGAACAAGCGACAGGACAAGATGAAATGGCCTCAAGTTGTGCCAGGGAGGTTTCAGTTGGATACTGGGAACCATTTCTCCATGGAAAGGTCTGTCAGGCCCTGGGACAGGCTGCCCAGGGAGGTGGTGGAGTCTCCTCTCATGATACTCAAAACTCTGGACACCATCCTGTGCAACCTGCTCTGGGTAAACCTGTTTGAGCAGGAGGGTTGGACTAAATGATGTCCAGAGGCCTCTTCCAACCTCCACCATTCTAGGATTCTACAATTCCCCCAACAGGGACATGGACACAGGGCCCACAGGGTGATAAGCACTGTGGGGTCCTGCTCAAGCCCTGTGACCTGGGAGCACCTCCCCCACCAAGGGGGAATCAGTTCCCCCAGGGCCTGGCAGGGCTGGGTACCCCCCAGGATACATCCTGTGTACTGCTGGGAAGACAAACTGGAGCTGTGGGTGCCAGGCATGGGGTGCTCCTAACCCCACCAGCACCAGGCATTGTGTTACTATCCATGAGGAAGATGATGCCCAGGGCCTCACAGCCACCCCAGAACCCAGAGCTGAGCTGGTGTCTGACACACCCACATCCAGAACAAACCATCCACATCATCCAAGCAAACTAGACTGTATTAATATTTACACTTATGAAGAGGAAGGAAATAAAAGGGAAAAGGTGGGTGGTGGAGAAGCAGGTGGCTGCCCTTCTTTCCCATTGCATCCCTTGGGAGCTGCTTCCCCTCCCTGAGAGGCAAGGGGTGGCTGCTGCTCCTCATGGCTTCCCCTCAGGAGGGGCTTTCCCCTCAGCCAACACCTCCCTGGTCATCCCAGGCTCACCCCAAAAACGTGCAGCCCCTGGTGGGCTCTGGAGGTGACACCCAGAGGCAAAAACCTGAGGAAAAGGGTGACAGGAGCCAGGCTGGGCTCTGCTCCAGGTTTGCAGCAGTTTTGGGAGGTCTGAATCCCCCCGGGAGCTGGGGAGGGTGGCTCATGCTGCTCTGGCTGGAATCAGACTGGAAAAACAAACCCTCCAGAACCATCCCCCTGCAATCACTGGGACAGAATTCCTCTCCATGGGGGAGGAAACCAGCACTTGGGAGGATGTTGGGATTTCCCCTGGCTGCTGAGTCTCTGCTCTCCAACCCCCCCCTGTCCAAGCTGATGCTGAGGGAAGTTGTACAAGCTGGTGCTGAGGCTCTTCCAAAGCCTGGCACAGCCAGAACTGGGGCAGGGGCTGCTGCTTTTCCTCTGGGACCCATCCAGCTTTCTGTTTGTGAGCCCACCAGGAGCCCCCTGGCCACAGCCCCAGTCCCAAGGCTCCCAGGGAGAAGTGGGGTGTCCCCCCTGGGGTGCCCCAGGGCGGGTGCAGAGCTTGCATGGTGCAGAGGTGGCTGCTGAAGCACCCCAGGAGCCTCCACCTGCCTCGCTCATGTGCCTGAGCCCCAGGTTTTCCTTTCTAACAGCCCCAGAACCCCCTGGGTGCCTTTCAGGGTGCTCGACTGCTCCAAGGGGCCCAGTGTACCCCAAAACTCTCCTTTTGCCTTCGCTTGCACCCAGAGCCCTCCCAGAGACATCCAACAACCCTGACACCTCCCAGTCCTTCAGTGAGCCCAGAGCCTTGCCAGTGCCTCTCCTGGCTTCCCTGAAAGCCCCCACCTGCCTTCTGAGAACCCCAAGACCTTCATGATGTCCCATGTGCCTTTCTCCGTGCCCCAGCTCCCCGTGTCCAACTTTCAGAGCCCTTCCTGGGGCTCTGGCCCTGCCTCTCACCCTGCAGGGACAAGGTGGGAGAGCAGGACAGGCTTCCCAAGCTGATGTGCTCACAGGGGAGAAAGGTTCTCAGGGAGGATCAGGGAGGCCCACAGGAGGAAAGGTCCCTACCACCCACCCACGTGCAGGGACAGGGAGAGGAGGTTTGGTGACCTGAACTTCGTGCACAACCCTGATGAGACAGATGGGTGTAAGGCAGGAGGGAGGGAGCAGAAGGAAGAGGTACCCTGGGCCACAACCAACCTGACAGGGGAAGTGGGCACTGGGGTGGAGCACGGGGGGCTGGTGCCAGGGTGTCCCTCAGCCCAGCCATGTCCCTGAAGGCACCAAGCCCAGCAGGCTGGCTCCCTCCTCGCAGCAAGAGGTCCCAAAGGTCCTGACCCACATCTGCTTCGAGCCATAAAATCACTTGACTGTGCTAGTGTGAGCAGGAGCAGCTGAGGGAGCTGGGGGTTCAGCCTGGAGACAAGGAGCTGAGGGGAGACCTGCTGGCTCTGCAGCTGCTGAGAGGAGGTTGGAGCCAGGGGCGTTGGATCAGTCTCTTCTCCCAAGGAACAAGCGACAGGACAAGATGAAATGGCCTCAAGTTGTGCCAGGGAGGTTTCAGTTGGATACTGGGAACCATTTCTCCATGGAAAGGTCTGTCAGGCCCTGGGACAGGCTGCCCAGGGAGGTGGTGGAGTCTCCTCTCATGATACTCAAAACTCTGGACACCATCCTGTGCAACCTGCTCTGGGTAAACCTGTTTGAGCAGGAGGGTTGGACTAAATGATGTCCAGAGGCCTCTTCCAACCTCCACCATTCTAGGATTCTACAATTCCCCCAACAGGGACATGGACACAGGGCCCACAGGGTGATAAGCACTGTGGGGTCCTGCTCAAGCCCTGTGACCTGGGAGCACCTCCCCCACCAAGGGGGAATCAGTTCCCCCAGGGCCTGGCAGGGCTGGGTACCCCCCAGGATACATCCTGTGTACTGCTGGGAAGACAAACTGGAGCTGTGGGTGCCAGGCATGGGGGGCTCCTAACCCCACCAGCACCAGGCATTGTGTTACTATCCATGAGGAAGATGATGCCCAGGGCCTCACAGCCACCCCAGAACCCAGAGCTGAGCTGGTGTCTGACACACCCACATCCAGAACAAACCATCCACATCATCCAAGCAAACTAGACTGTATTAATATTTACACTTATGAAGAGGAAGGAAATAAAAGGGAAAAGGTGGGTGGTGGAGAAGCAGGTGGCTGCCCTTCTTTCCCATTGCATCCCTTGGGAGCTGCTTCCCCTCCCTGAGAGGCAAGGGGTGGCTGCTGCTCCTCATGGCTTCCCCTCAGGAGGGGCTTTCCCCTCAGCCAACACCTCCGTGGTCATCCCAGGCTCACCACAAAAAACGTGCAGCCCCTGGTGGGCTCTGGAGGTGACACCCAGAGGCAAAAACCTGAGGAAAAGGGTGACAGGAGCCAGGCTGGGCTCTGCTCCAGGTTTGCAGCAGTTTTGGGAGGTCTGAATCCTCCCGGGAGCTGGGGAGGGTGGCTCATGCTGCTCTGGCTGGAATCAGACTGGAAAAACAAACCCTCCAGAACCATCCCCCTGCAATCACTGGGACAGAATTCCTCTCCATGGGGGAGGAAACCAGCACTTGGGAGGATGTTGGGATTTCCCCTGGCTGCTGAGTCTCTGCTCTCCAACCCCCCCCTGTACAAGCTGATGCTGAGGGAAGTTGTACAAGCTGGTGCTGAGGCTCTTCCAAAGCCTGGCACAGCCAGAACTGGGGCAGGGGCTGCTGCTTTTCCTCTGGGACCCATCCAGCTTTCTGTTTGTGAGCCCACCAGGAGCCCCCTGGCCACAGCCCCAGTCCCAAGGCTCCCAGGGAGGAGTGGGGTGTCCCCCCTGGGGTGCCCCAGGGCGGGTGCAGACCTTGCATGGTGCAGAGGTGGCTGTTGAAGCACCCCAGGAGCCTCCACCTGCCTCGCTCATGTGCCTGAGCCCCAGGTTTTCCTTTCTAACAGCCCCAGAACCCCCTGGGTGCCTTTCAGGGTGCTCGACTGCTCCAAGGGGCCCAGTGTACCCCAAAACTCTCCTTTTGCCTTCGCTTGCACCCAGAGCCCTCCCAGAGACATCCAACAACCCTGACACCTCCCAGTCCTTCAGTGAGCCCAGAGCCTTGCCAGTGCCTCTCCTGGCTTCCCTGAAAGCCCCCACCTGCCTTCTGAGAACCCCAAGACCTTCATGATGTCCCATGTGCCTTTCTCCGTGCCCCAGCTCCCCGTGTCCAACTTTCAGAGCCCTTCCTGGGGCTCTGGCCCTGCCTCTCACCCTGCAGGGACAAGGTGGGAGAGCAGGACAGGCTTCCCAAGCTGATGTGCTCACAGGGGAGAAAGGTTCTCAGGGAGGATCAGGGAGGCCCACAGGAGGAAAGGTCCCTACCACCCACCCACGTGCAGGGACAGGGAGAGGAGGTTTGGTGACCTGAACTTCGTGCACAACCCTGATGAGACAGATGGGTGTAAGGCAGGAGGGAGGGAGCAGAAGGAAGAGGTACCCTGGGCCACAACCAACCTGACAGGGGAAGTGGGCACTGGGGTGGAGCACGGGGGGCTGGTGCCAGGGTGTCCCTCAGCCCAGCCATGTCCCTGAAGGCACCAAGCCCAGCAGGCTGGCTCCCTCCTCGCAGCAAGAGGTCCCAAAGGTCCTGACCCACATCTGCTTCGAGCCATAAAATCACTTGACTGTGCTGGGTTCTGCTGCTTGGCCACCCTGGAGCTCCCACAGCAGCACCTGAAGGGGGTTGGGGGCCTTAAAACTATAGAATTGTCTTCTCTGCATCTGAGACCAAACACCTCTCGGGGAGCAGAGGGCAGCCTGGCTGCCAGGATTCCCCAGCTCCTGGTTTCACATCTGCCACAAAGAGATGGAAGGGCAGAGGGAACAAAATCCAGTGGCAGCTGGTGGGCTCCAGCCCTGAGTCCCAGTTGGTTTGCAGGACTTGGGAGCTGCTGGATGAAGGGAAGGGCTGCCCAGCAGAGCCCACGCTGCATGAACCACCCCAGCAGAAGACAAGTCTGATGGTCTCAGCACTGGAATGGTGGGGCAGGAAGGTGCCTTTTCCCTTGGGAAGCTGGTGAAGAACGGATCAGCCGAGCTGTGAGTGTCAGACAGGCAGGGAAGGGAGGGAAGGAATGCCAAATGTCTGCCCAAGAGGTGTGAGGAGTCCCCGTGTCTGGGTGCTGGTCGGTGTGTGCTGCTGGAGCCCCCGTGGCACCCCCTCGGGGCTGGGAGGAAGCGAAGGAAAGCTGGGAGGAAGAGGAGGAGCACCAGGCCACCTGGCTGCAGTTCCAGCTGCTCAGCCCCCTTTCACAACTTCTGGATCTTCTCAGCAATAACGATGGGGTTCTCCTTCCGGATCTTCTCAGCAGCTTCTGCCTTGTAGTCGTAGGGGCAGGCGTGCATGTCCGAGTACCGGTGAATGGCACAGAACAAGTTCCCACAGCGGCAGTCGAAGCCTGGAGGGAGGAAGAGCAGGGAGACAAAGCCCTGTCAGCCCCAGCCCAGCTGGGCAGGAAGGGCAGCAGGGCCCCTGCTCTTTCCTGCCAGGCCAGGAAACTCCACTAAGGCAGCAAGAGGGTCTGACAGGAGAAAGGCAGTCGCAGTGTGGGGGAAGGTCGCGGGTGACTCTTTGCTCCCCAGAGAACGCGTGTGGCCTGGGCAGCCCCAGCTGTCACAGGGGTGGGAAGGCTCCCAGAGCAGCTGCTCTCTGCCTTCCTCAGGGACAAAGGACATGCTAGGGACTGCACAGGGCCAGACTGCTCATAGAGATCAGGCTCCCCAGGCAGCCTGAGCTGGAGCCCAGCCCTCCCAGCCAGCCTGGCTCCCCAGGCATCCTGCAGCAGCATCTGGACTGACCAGCAGGGAGCAAAAACCTTCACCTCCTTAGGATCACTTTTGAGCTATTTCAGCTTCAAAATTCAGAATCACTTGGAGACAACACTGTTCAGAAGTGCTGCCATTATCACAGCACACTGGGAAACTGAGGCAGGGAGGTTTGATGGAGGACAGATCAGCTCCCACCAAGTCCTGCTCTCTCCAACTACAGGCTGTAACAACCACCAACACCTTCCTACAAGGTGCCAGTTTACTCCTGTTTGAGAAACTTGTATCCAAAATGCCCTGAATTCACAGAAGTTCTCTGCAAGTTGATTCCTAAAGGAGACTCCTCATAGTTTGAAGCTCTTAAGGAAACACTCATCCAGGAAAACAATCCCCTCTGCAGGTCTGAAGGCCACACCCAGAGGACCCTGCCCAGTCCCAGGATTCTGAACCCACACTTATTCCATGACAGTGTCCTCAAACATCCAAGCACTGGGCAAACCTCCCAGGCAGGCTCAGCCCAAGCAGCTCACCTGGATGAGAACTTCAGGGCCTGCCTTTCCAGGACCAGTTTTCCCGTTGGCACTAGTCACCTGACACCATCTCAGCACTTCAAGCTTTACAGGGCACTGCCTGAGCCATCCTGCTGTCAGGAAGCTAAACAGCAGACGGTGAGCAGCATAAATGAATGGGATGTCTTGGAATGGGATTTTCAGTTTGGATCTAATTCATTTCTTGTCACTATTAGGAAAACTTGACCACTGACTTGAACAGGAGCAGAATTAGATCCACAGGGATGCCTTTGCTTCAAAAAGCAGCAGGAATAATCACAGAATGGTGGGGTTGGAAGGGATCTCTGGAGATCATCCAGTCCAACCACCTGCCAGAGCAGGATCACCTAAGGCAGATCACACAGGTACACATCCAGGTCTGGAAAGTCTCCAGAGAAGGAGACTCCATAGCCTCTCTGGGCAGCCTGTCCCAGGGCTCTGTCACCCTCACACCAAAGAAGCTCTTCCTCATGTTGAGGTGGAACTTCCTGGGCTCCAATTTGAATCCATTGCCCCTCATCCTGTCCCAGGGCACAAGTGACAAGAGCTTGTCCCTGCCTTCTTGATGCCCTCATGTATTGAGAGACATTCATTAGATCCCCCCTCAGTCTTCTCCTGAACATCTTCTCATGAAGATGTTGAATAAGCTTCACAACCCTGTGCTGCCCCAGTCCGTGCTGTTCACAGGTCAGACCTCCTCTCCCACCACATCCTGTGGCTGTGAAGTACTTTTTTGACAAGGTACCTCCACCCACTGACCCTCTGAACCCAGGCAGCACCACAGCCCAAAGAGATCAGTTCACAGGGCTACCAAACCAGGTAGGTTCTCCCCACAGCCAGGCTCTCACCAGTCAGCCCGATCTTCTTCCGGCAAGTGAAGCAACGATTCTTCTTTGGCTTCGGTTTTTCTGGAGCTGTCTTGCCCTCAGCTGTGTTCTGGGATATTTCCAGCAGGGTACCTGAGACAGAGGCAAAACTTTTGGTACTCTTCTTGAGAAACCAAGCAACACGTTCATTTTATTACAGGAGCTGCTTGAGGCCCTACAGGTTCTGGCTCTGCACCAGAGTGTGTGTTGCCCTGGCCAAGGCCCCCAGACTGTGAGGTTTGCCTTGTTCCACAGACCTGCACCTCACACAGCCTCTTGGTTTCCTCTGTTTCAAACTCCTGAAGTTCAAGACCCAGAAACACCCAGGAGACATTCCACCTTAGCAAAGGCACATGTTTATCTCCTGCTGAGAACAGTCACACTAAGAATTACCTGGCACTAGGTTAAACATGCACCTGGATGGTCACCAGAGCTTAGCACAGCAACACAACCAGCTGAGACTAGAGTTAATCTTTGCAGGGGGTGGGAAAAACAACAGTTAACCCCCTCATAAGCACTACTAATTATTTTTGCTGACTCTTATGTAAGTGTTCCTTGTATGTAGGTCTCAGGATGCTTTACACAGATACTCATCACTGTCTCTAATCTACCAAAAGGAAAACTGAGCTCCAAAAGCCAGATTGTTAAAGGTCACCCACGCTCAGCAGGATTTCCTACTGTACCCAGGCAGGGTAGGGAAGTCAACAGGAGGGAGGAGTTCCAACTGGTAGCAGCTCCACACCTGCAGCACATGCTGCTCTGAAAACCAGGTTAAGGAAACAGTGGGAAGCTTTGTGGACCAGACTCTGAAGCTCCTTCTAAAAATCACACAACCTGAAGAAAAGGGCAGGCTGTTCCACACCTCTCACCAAATAGTGTCTCACCTGCCTGTTGTAAATTTGTTTGGGCTTGCAGGCAAGGGGTTACCAAATCCAAAATGCTGAGTCATGTGCAGTGACTAGAGCCTGGGTTTTTTTTAGCAACCAACAATTCTCGGTGTTTTTTTAGCTTTGAATGCAAGCAAACTGTCAGGTGAGCTAATGGAGGGTGTCACTTGGCTACAGGGACACAAGGGACTATCCCTGTAACTCATCAGCTGGAGGACAAACCCCACCTGGCAACCCCAGCCGTGCTCCAGTGTCACTACAAGGGCCCCACCTTGCAAAGGGACCACATCAACACCCCCTCTGAGGGGCACCCACGCCTCCCGTCACACAGAGGACACCCAGGCCAGCAACTGCCCTCGGGCACCCTCACAAACACATCTCCTCTCTCCAAACACTCCACTGGATCCATCTCCTTTCCTCCCTGAAGAGCTGGCAGGGAACTGCAGCCAACAGCAGCCGTGCAGGGGGCTGGGGGACGTGCTGCTCCGGGCTCCCTGCCATTCCCTAGGAAAGGCGTCATGGAAGATTATCCTCCTGCCAGCGAGGCAGGGCCTGGCAGCTACTCAGCCTTCAGCCCACAGAGCAATCTCTATCAGCCTGCCCTCAGGCACAGCATTTTCTCTCTTCCCTGGCTCAGAAAGAGACAAACTCTTTTTCTCCCTTAGCTCCTCTTAGCCTTTCCTGAAAGGAGGGAACTCATTCCCTGGAATTAGTTGCTCAAAGTGACTTCCGAGATCGGGGTCGTTCCCACTTGTGCAAAGGCCAAACCCATCAGTCTACCTGATGAGGAAGATGCTGATGAGGCTTCTTCTGTCTTGGTGAACTCCTCTGCCTCACTGCTGGTTTCTTCTCTGGATATGCTCATGGCTGTCATCTGATGGGTCACAGGAGTCTGAGCACTGGGATTATTTGCAACAAACAAACCACAGAGCAAACACAAGCATTTTATTTTGATGGACAGTTACGTGGGAAGAGAACTTCAGCCCACCAAGTTAATTTCATTATACTCAGAGGTAGCTCAGGAGGACAGCAGGCCAGTTCCCCTTGAGATTTGTGATCAAAGCTCTGCAGACACAAATGGAACGAGTCTGTGATGTTCTCAGTTTCCTTTTCCACCCAATTATATCTCAAAGCCAAGGCGACAGCCCATCCAAACAAGCCCAGGGACAGGGAAACAGCACGATGAGTCAGGGCTGCCATGCAATGCAGTCCTACCTTCCTTCCTATCAAACGTGTGAGAGATCCCTAATCCTGCTGTTGCAGCTCCCAGACTGGATCAGCACCAGGGGCTTCCACCTGCAGCTGAGTTGAAAACCAACAGCCTGGCACAGCTAGTGATGCTGGTTCCAAAACAACTAGGATGTTGCTTTGTTTACCAGAGGTTTTAATTTACTACTGACCCTCTGCCACCTGATTCTGCACCACCAGGGCCATCTCTGCCTTCCAGATAACCCAGGGTCACAACGCTCCGTGTTTAATCCAGCTTGCTTTACAGATCCCCTTGTGTACATGAAGGAGAGTCCACCCCTGGTGTCCTGGGCTGGTTTTCACAGGAGGATTCCCCCACCACAGGCTGTGCCCCTCAAGACTGTGCCCCCACCTGGCTTTTGCATCCTCAGGCGTGGAGTCTCCCTCTGCGCGCTGCCCGGCGACCGAGTCGGCAGCCATGGGGCTGCTGGTGGCACCACTGGGGGCTACAAGGCAAGATCAAACTCATCACAATGTCAGCAACTTCCTCGGGGCCCTGACAGCCAAGGAGTAAACAGGATGAGCACTTTCAGCAGGCTGGAACCTCCTGCTCCCTCCACATTTGTGCATAGGGGACAACTGATGGGGTTGGACAGACCCCAGCATGACCCAGAGCAGCTGTTGGATTAGGCATGACTGCAGAGATCCCTTTAGAGTAGGCACAAGTCTTTTGATCAGGATCCCCCTGAAATGAGCTGCCCATCTTCCCAAGGACTGCAGGCCTCGTTTTTGAATTCCTGTTCAGCTCCCCAGAACCTCCCAACTCCCTTTTGAAGGATGTGGGTTTATTCACAGGAGTTCTGTGCTGAATTCCTTCCATGACCAGGTGGTACCATCTGGTAAAACCTGCCTTCAGTCACCTGTGGCACCTCCATCATTCTTTGATTTCCCTTCTCTTCCTCAGCATTGCAAAGCCACATAAATATCCTCCTGTCAGTAGAAAGGAAAGTGCTGCAGCTACCAACATACCTGGAAACCCAACTTGGCAACTTCTCCAAGCTATGAGAACCAGCTCCTCATCTGCTGGGAGGAAGTGACTCCAAAAGAAACATGTTGGTTTCCACCAGCTGAGGATCTAAGTCAGGGTCTTTAGAAAAACCCTTTGTCAGGAAGAGTCCTGGTCACAATACGTATTTTGGGGGTGGGTAATTCAAGGAAAAGTGATTATCCCACTCAGGAATAAAACTGCAAGAGGTCTCCAGGTGTTCCTCACTGGTCTTGCAAAGCCTGGGCACGGAGCATCTGCACAAACTCTCAGCAGAAGAAAATCCTGCTGATGAGTGAAAAGAGCCTCCATCCTGTGCCTCTCACTGCCCCCCAGCTCACTGATGTGTCTTTTTCTTTCCCTGCTTTTGGATTGTCAGCCCTGTTTAAGGTAAGAAAAATCATGCACACCCAAAAGGCCAAATTCTTCCCCAATTAGATTTCATTTCAGGGATCTGTGGTGGATCCCAGCAGCACCTAACTCAGGGAGCAGGTAATGGCCACAACGTTGGGCAGCTGGTCAGCACTGGTGAGGTTTTAGATTTTACTGGAAGGTGCTGACTGGGATGGGACTTCACAAACAGCTGGGATTGGGAAGAAAACAACTGACCCCTCAGAGGGGACAGAAGAGGTCCAGAGAGGTCAGGAGAGCTCCAAAGCTAAGGTCTTTGATTTAGAGGCTCGAGTCTTCATGAAAAGGGGATGATAGTTTTCCAGGAGGAACTAAACCTGCTGGTGGCCAGTACCAGTACCATGCTCTGTCCCAGCTGCTTAAGGCACATGTTTAGGATGGATTTAATGGATAAAAAAAACCCTCTACCTGGGGGGCTGAGCCGGTCACTGCTCTGCTGCCTCTGCAGAAACTCCTTATAGCAAACAGAGCACATCCCGTTGGTGCGGGGGCTGCCATAAAACCCACAGCCCGTGGTGCAGAGCAGGGGCACCTGGGTCTGGTTGGTCTCCTGAGCCATCCTCTCTCCTCCAAGGCCCCAGGCTACAAACAGGAAGAAAAAAAAATGAGACAGCTGTTAGGGCCTGAACTCTCCTTGGTCGAAGGTTGCAGCTGATCAGGAAAGAGCACAAAGGATCCCAAGAGAATCCAGCACGTGCACAACAACACGATCCTCTGAGCAAGGGGCACCCAGGGCTCGGAGGCAGCCACAGGATTTTTTGTGCCTAGGTTAGACACTAGGAGGAAATTCTTCACTCTGAGGGTGGTGAGACCCTGGGACAGGTTGCCCAGGGAAGCTGTGGCTGCCCCATCCCTGGCAGTGTTGAAGGGCAGGTTGGATGGGGCTTGGAGCAGCCTGGGATGGTGGGAGGTGTCCCTGCTCGTGCAGGGGGGTTGGATCTAGATGGTCTTTAAGGTTTCTCAACCCCAAACCATCCCATGATTCTATGATACCTGGGACTTTGAGCCACCCACAGCTCAGCTGCCCGGAAATGGGCTGAAACACTGACAGGAACCAGCCTCACTACCCCCTCCTGGCACCACGAGGCTCCCCAGACTCCCAGTGAAAAACACACGTGGAAAACCTTAAATGATCCACTCTCCAAAAGCATCCAGAAATGACACCACAGCACAACTGATGACTCCTGCAAACACTGACACACACCCAATGCCATCAAACCCCCAGCCCAATCGGTTACACTTGACACTCAGCAGCATTTGCTTTCATTTTGAGCTCGATTTACTTCTTTAGTTTTCAGGAAGATGATGTAAGGAGATGCAAAAAGGACCCACTGACTCCCAGGTCTGACATACTCATGTACTTCCTGACAACATGCTGGTGAAAAAAGGAAATGTTACCATAGTTAGGCTGGAAATAAGGTTTATTTCCAGCAACAAGATGCAATTCCAGGACACCTTCCCAGGGGAAAAGCTACTTTTAAAATCAATCCTAAGAATTTCTCTCTGAGTCACAATCCTGGGAACCCCTGGTCCCTTCCAGCCACGCATGGTGTGATTTACACCCCTTTAGACCAGAACCATAACCAGTAACTCCCAGTAATAACCACTACCAACTCAGATGGGTGCAAACAATGCGGATGTTGCAGAAGACACTGGTGGGACCCTTTGGACACAAAGGCACAAGACTGGTACCAGGAGCCTCCCCTTCTCCCAGCGTGGCAGATGCACAAAGTACCCACCACTTCACTTCCACCTCTTCCTTTCACGCTCCCAACAAAACCCGCTTCACCAAGGGAACAAAACAACAGCAACAAGAAACAATTACCCTCCTCGAAGCGATCCCGTGGGATGGGAAGCGGATCAGCTCTGGTTTATTCCTCCTTGTCCTCAGCTGGAATCTCCACTCTGCTCTCGGGGCTCTCCTTGCAGAGCTCAGCCCGTCCTTCCCATTCCCAGACCAGGAATCTTTCCCGGCCCAGACCCACCGCTTCTTGGGCACCAGCAGCGCTGGATCCTCCCGGGATCGGCGCTGGATCCTCCCGGGATCGGCCCCGGAGGTGACCGGACGGTGCTCGCTGCCCTGCACGGGCAGATTTTCACGAGTTGCTTCTGATTTGGAGCGTCCCTGGACAGAGAAAGCGACGGCTGCTGCGACTCGGGAGGAGTTGGTTTCTCCCCCCACCCCCCCAAGGAAACAGCCCTTTCTTCAACCCGGCCCGAAGGGCAGCGGGAGCCGAGCAGCTTTAGCAGAAAAACCAGCTGAAATGGCTGAAACGGAGC